CTCCAGCGGTTGGTTTGTAACCCAGTGTACAGCACCCGCATGGATACTCTTCTGTGGAACATAAAACATATACCATAAGAAAAGAGTTAGTCATCCCTTAATAGTCATGCCTCTACTGCACAAAATGGAGATAGAACTTTGCAAGGAGGTACTGTAGCATACAGGGCTCCCAGCTAGTGAGACCATATGTTACCTTCCTCCTTTAGCAGTTAACAAAACACATTCAAAATAAAGAAGCTAACAAAAAGTTTGAAAATTCTAGCTCATTTTCAGCTTGATTCCTCCATGTTCTGCAACCAAATTTTGTGTTATTTTTTAGCAATAGGTTTGTTTTTAATGTGTTATAGAAAAACATGACATTGCCCTGTATTGTTGTGGGGTGTACGTCTTGTGCTGCCTAGAATGACAATGAGAGCAGTTTTCCATACATGTACTAGATAGTATTTTATTGCTGTGGAGAGACACCAGACCCATGGTTAACTCAGATGAAGAAAACCATTTAATAAGGGCTAACTTACAATTCAGAAGTTTAGTCTTTTATCATCTTGGTGGGAAAGTCTGGCAGCACACAGAGAAACATGGCTCTGGAGAGGAGCTGAACATACTTCATCTTGATCTGCAGCAGCAGGAAGTGAACTGAGACACGCTCCCTATAATAATGCCACACCTGCTATGCAAGGCAAAACCACCTAACATTGCCCCTCACTATGAGCCTATGGGAGCCAATTACATTCAAAGTACCACCATCCACTTCCCTGGTTCCCAAAGGGTTGTAACTATATTATAGTGCAAAATGTATTTGATCCAATTTCAAAAGTCTACATAGCATATAAGAGTCCAAAGTCTCTTCTGAGACTCATGGGATTTTTTTAACTGTAATACTCTATCAAATTACAATAAATAATTAGATCACGTCATTCCAATTTATAATGGAATAGAATATAAATTACAGCCCCATAATTGAGGAAAGTGAGCATATTAAGACAATACTGGACCAAGGCATGACCAAAAACAAGCTGGGCACACTCTAAAATCTGAATCTTCATGGGTGATGTCAAGAAATTTTCTGATTCCTAACTTTTTTTTCCCCCTTTTTTCCTTGTACCGGTTTTTTTCTCTTTAGCTGGTTGCCTTCCCTGTTCTGAGCTTGCCTTGGTAGGTATTTCATGGCTCCAGCATCTCTAACATCTTGGCATCTCAAAGGCAACCCAAGCTTTGCCTTCAGAGCTTCACATAATGGGCTTTCTGGGCCTCTATGCATGGACACCCTTCACACATGCCTGGCCACAGGGGCATTCCTCAGAATGGAGGAAGATTCCATAACCACTTTCTTCTTTCTTTGACTCTGAATTTAGGTCCCCATGACCAAATCTTACAAATTATGCTGCTTGATAAGGCTGGAACATGGCCCCCTCATTTAATTACATCCTCAATACCTTTCTGTTTTCAGTGCTTTTCCTCACTGCATATGCTTGATGTCCTGGAACTTGCACTGTAGACCAGAGTGGTCTTGAACTCAGAGAACTGCATGCCTCTTTCTCTGGACTGCTGGGATTCAAGTTGTGTGCCATCATGCCTCAACAAAAGCTG